AGTGCTCCGGGGCCCAGGTGAGGAGCAAACCTGACGTGCACTGTCTCCCCAGCCCTCCGGCAATCAACTCTCTCTGTATATACTCCAGGCCAGTCCTTCGGGTTGACTCCGATCTAAGGGCTGGCACTGACTTCGGCTCCCAGTATCAATGTCTCAAATCCAGAGCTTACCCCTGTGGGGGGTGGAAAGGAGCAGAAACATCAAGTGCTATCCTGGGGTGGGGGTGGGGAGCATCTTGAGGAACTTCACTCCATCCACACCCCTCCACAGCCAGGGCTACCCACTTAACCACCAGGTGAAGTCAGTGTTTGCTGAGCAAACTCAATGGGGAGGCTCGTCCCCTGTCCCGGGCCCTCTTGGCTCACCTTTCCCTGGCTTCCTGCCCCTTCCCTGGCACCCCTGCATCCACACCACCCTGCTGGGGGAGGGAAGGCAGTCTTAGAGCAGTGAGATCTTCTAGATGGGGCAGCACGTTGCCACTCAACCCCTGGGCAGTGAGGCTCTACTCTAGCCTACTCTGGGGGGTCGACCCACCCCTGCAGGCCCCTAGGGGAGGTAGAGGGGGGATTGCTCCAGCCAAGACCCCAAGGCCACCTCCTGTCTCCACGAGACTGCTCCATCCCCTCTCTCCATAGGCCCCGAAGCTCGCCTTCTCTTCGGCAGATCCTTTGGTCTTTCTCTTCCCATCTTGACAGATCTAACTAATGAGACCAAATGCTCTTTCCCTCAGCAGTGTCCTTGCCCGAGCAACAGCTCTGTGTGCCTCACCCGGCCTCCTGCAGACCCATCCTCTTATTTCACCTCATCTCTCGGCCCCCTCTGAACCCCAGATCTGCATGGTCGTGCTCAGGTCAGAGAGAAACCGGAAGGGGACCCAGGGAGGCTGAGGACAGGGAGGGGAAGCTAAGAAAACACAGATCCCTGCGGCCACCAGGACCCTCCCCAGCCAGTACCCTCCTCCTAGGAGCTGAGGCGGCTTCATTCCTTCACCTGGTGTGTACCAAGCACAAAGGAAAACCATGGTTCTGTGTTCTGGCCTAGAATGTCAGCTTTGCAAGCATGTGGTCAAGGGTTCGAATCCCTGGTGTCATCACATGCCTCCCACTCCTCTCGGCAGCTCTGCTGTCTGTAGTCCCCAAGGACAAAGGGACCTGGGGCTGCTGGGTGGAGTAAGCACCTCAGAGGGACGCTGCACCCCCACCCCCGCACGATCCCTATAGTTCCAAAGGTGTGAGAGCAGAAAAGTCAGCCTGGTGAGCACATGGTGAACCCCACGGGGACCCCAGCCCGCACACCTCCAGAATGGGCCTCAGCCAGAACTAAGCACCCAGCAGGCAAGCTGCAAGTTTCACAGCCAATATGTGAGCCCTGGAAACACCCCAGCTAAAAATGTGCAAACATCACAGCGGCCGTGAGCAACCCTCAGTCACGGCAACGTCCATATGGTCCCCAGTAATGAAGTGGGGACCCAGGGTCAGGGATGGGGGCATTTCCCTTGCATGTGTGAGACGTGGGTGGGGGCGAGCACACACAGAGGGGCAGGAGAGGGGACGGGAATTTAAAACGCAAAGAGCAGAGTTCCGAGCCCCCAGCATTTGGCAGGGAAAAGATTCTTAGCTAAGACTCGTGAGTTCATTTTAGGGTACCAGATACTCCTCAGCTGTCCCTGGGCCCTCCCTCGTGAGCTGTCCCACTCGTGGTATGAAAAGCCTCCCCTCCACCCAGCCCCTAGATGTCCGAGGGTGCGGGACAGAGGCCAGCCCCAGAGCCCGCAATGAGGCAGGAGGACACTACCCAGAGTAGCCGCCAGAGGGCAGCCGCCACGCCCAGGCCGCCTGGAGAAGAGCCGGAGCCGGCTTGACCCGCGCTGGGAGCAGCCTGGGGACCACCAGATTTGCGGCACTGATGGGCAGGCAGGCTCCTGCCCGAGGGTCAGCGCCCAGAGCCCCGCCTCTCCCTCTCCTGTCCGCATACCCCTGGGGGTCAGTGGGCTTGAGTCAGGGGGGCTGGGCGAGGCGGGGCAGCAGCTCCCGCGGGGCTAAGGAGAAGCTGATGGAGCGGGCACGGGCGGCGGGCGGAGATGGAGCCTTGGGGTGCGGGGGGCCAGGGAAGAGAGCCGCGCTCCTTGGGGAGGCCGGGCCCCGATCCCCACCCCCAGCAGCTGCCCCCCTCCGCGCCCAGGGGGAGGCAGGCCTGACCCAGGCTAAGGAAGGCACCTGGCCTCTAGTTTCCCGAGGGCTGACCCGGGCCTTTCTGCTGGACGGTGCAGGTCGAGGGCCGCGCGCCTTGCAAGCTGCCCCTGGCGATGCATCGAAATCACCGAAATGGGTCCTGGGGCCAGAAAAGCCCGATGCGTGGGAGAGAGGAGCGAGGAACGCTGAGCAGGCCTGGACGGCCCCACCTGTGCCAGGCTTCACCTCTGGCTGCGCGGAGGAGAGGTCCGGCTGGGTGTCCGGGGTGGCACCGAAGCACGAGCAGAGGTTGGAAGCGACACTGCCTGCAGCGAGGCTTACCCAGCGGCGACTGCAGAGGGACGGTAGAGGAGGGGGCGAGAGAAACAGAGGCTGGGGGTGGGGGTGGGGGCGGTCACAGGTGACCCAGAGCCCAGCGCCAGCCCGAGAAGCTCCACCAGGGGGATGTCTCTGAGCAGATTCCAAGGGAAGTGTCAGGATGGGTCAGGGCCAAGGGGGCGGTGGAGCATTGTCGCTCTAAGCCGGGGTTAGGTCTAATGCGAGGAGGAGGATGGGGGGGTGGGGGGAGTCAGGTCCAGCGTTTCTCAACTACATGCACCCAAGCGGGACATAGGTGAAAATCTTGGACATTGGGGACCATGGCTTGAGTATAGGGGGCCAACTGTAAGTACAGGAGGCCACAGAAAGGGAAAAAAGGTGAGGAGGGGGCTAGGGCCGGGCAGAGTCTGAGAAACACCGCACAAAGGAGTGATACCCGGCTATTGGATCGCTCTTCTGAAGCATCCCGGCTTTCTCCTCGGCCGGCTGGCCATTCCCAATTTTGGCCACTAGGTGGCACCAAACTCCACCAGTTGGGAGAAAGGCTTTGCACGTAGGGCGTTTTCACATAATCCTAATTGAAGTCCATCTTTTAGGAGGCACTTTTTTCACTCTTATTTTCTTTGTTTTGGCGAAGGTGGATCACACCCATAGAAGCTCAGGGGCTACTCTTGCCAGTTCTCAGGAGAGCAATATGAACACACACACACACACACACACACACGCAAAGTATGTTTCCAGCCCTTTGAGCTGTTGCTCTGGCTATAGAGTGCATTCTGATTATAGATATTCTGGTTTTGGGGGTACAGGGAGCACCCTGTGGTACCCAGGGCTTACACCTGGCTTGTGTTCAGGTACTTCTCCTAGCTGAATTCAGGGGACGTTGTGCAATGCAATACCAGCAATGTGCAAGCTCCTTAAGCCCTTTGGCAACTATTTTCATAAATTAATCATCTTTATAACTATATTATGAATACTACATTCCTGAATCTATATACCTTTCTCATCCTCTCTCATCCTCAATCTTCAGAGTAAAATAAAAGCAGAACACTGGAGAGGAGAGCAATTATACCTTCTTTGAAATCTGATGCTAGGAATCATCAATAGTACAGTGGGTGAGGCACTTGCCCTGTATGCAACTGACCAGGGATCGATCCTCGGCAACCTCTATCTGTCCCCTGCTCCTGCCAGGAGTGATCCTTGAACACAAAGCCAAGAGGAAGCCCTGGGCACAGCCGAGTATGACCCAAGAAATAAATAAATAAAAGTATAATGAGAATCATGCTGATGACTTTGAAAAGGTAGCTGGGCCCACTGACAGCTCTGCAGGCCTGCCAACTCCCAGTGAGAGTCAGAATACAGCCCTGGGTTTCACTCAGGCCCCCTGTTGTTCTGAAGGATGTCCCAGGACCTCACCTAGGATACTCTGCTTCTGGGCGCCCACTAAGGAGCTGGCTCAGACAGCCACACCTGAGAGCCCAAGGTCAAGGATGGGCATGTTGGAATCTTGGACATGGAACAGATTCTGTCCAGATCCTGAGTGCAACATTAAGTAAAAGGGACAAGCATGCAAAAATGGGAAACACCTCCAGCCGAGGTAGTCACCCTGCGATGCCAGCTCAGCCCGGCGACCTCCGACAGTCAGCCAGGCTGAGCCACCCACCCTGTCCAGAGCCCTCTGAGCAGCTTCTGCTCAACATGAGAACAAACAAATACACTGGAAATGTACTTTTTCCAAACACCTGTCGTGTCAAGAGAAAGAACAGCACACAGCCCCGCCCTGAGCCACACCCGCCCTCACCCCTGCCTACCCCCCCCGCCCCGCCCACCAGACACCCTGCACTACACCACATTCATTCTCTTGCTTTTATTGTGAGGGGTGGGGCGTGGTTACCCCTGGGACATGTTGAGGGAGGGCGCCCAGGGTGGGTGTGCAGGTCAGGATGGTTGCAGGGGGACGTGCAGAGCGGGCGGACAGAAGCCCAGAAAACCAGCAAGGACGTCGCTTCCCTCTCCAGGGCACCTGGGCTGCCTGCCCTGGAACCCATGTGGTAACTGTCCTCCCCACGCCTTCCCACTTCCTGTCTCACACCGAGCAAACACCTGTACCTGTCCCCAAGGTCTCGACCTGCTTCTAGTGGTGAGTCTTGGGGCAGATCTGTTGGTTGGTTGGTTTGGGGGGAGTCACACCTGACCAGGTGCATAGGCTACTCGTGGTTCTGTGCTCGGGAGCTTGCTTGCTCCTGGTGGTGTTCGGGACACCAGGAGGTGCTGGAGATCAAACCTAGGCCCTCATTTGCGAAGCTCGTGTCAGGATGTGGATTGTCTGCATGCATGCGCACACGGGTGCTGGGGAAGGAGAGACGTGGTCTCTGTAGGGAATAGGCAGCAGGCAGGGAACAAGGCCATGTGGCCAGAAGCCCAAGTCCGTACAGGATGCTCCGTCACGGCACTCAGGCAGCAGCCACAGAATCCGGAGCTAGCATACCCCTAAAAGTTGATGCTCTCCAAGTCCATGGAGCAGCGGTACCTGCCGTCCAGACACCTGGCACACAGCAGGCTGGGCAGACAGGGGCAGCTGTGGTACTGGCGCTTCCTGAAGAAGGGCACCTGGGGAGAGAGAGGAAGAACAAAGTCCACCACCCACCCAGTGCAACCAGACGGAAGAGGGTCATTTCCCCTGCCCTGCCCTGCCTCCCCGGGACGTGAAGGGGTCCTCCTCCCCGCATGTGCCTTCTGCCTGGACGCGCGATAGCTGAGCACAGGCCCTGGGTACATTTCTGAATCTCCAGCCCACTCAGAAGCCCTGTGAGGCTCTACCAGTCCAATGACGCTGAGACCCAGAGCAATACACCAGGCTGACCTCGCTGGTCTCTGGAAGAGCCGGGACTTGAACCCAGGCAGCTGGCTCTGGACACAGCTGGGCTGGTCAGCCCCTCCCAGAGGCCCTTCAGGGGCCAGCACTGCCCATCCGGTCCCCAGGAGTCAGGTTGAAAATGTCACTCAGAGTTGACCTACTGGAGCCACACACTAGTGGATGGTAGGGATGCAGCTAGTTAGGATAGCCCCCAGCTCAGCCCTGTACCCCACCCAGAGGAGAGGGGGCCTCTGCGGCTTTTCCTCCAGGGAAATTGGACGAGGTGCCCCCTCGGGAGCATGGGAGGTGTCAGACAGGCTGGGTTCCACAGGCAGTGTCACTGCCCCGCTGGGCTACCTCTCTGTGCCTCAACTCTACTGTCTGTGGGATGGGTGTGAGAGCTGCACACCCCACATTGGGCCAAGAGGGTTAAAGCACGCGTGTGTGCGAACAGCACTGGAGAGAGAGGCTCTTCTCTTTATGAGAACACAGACCTACAGCTGACCTACTTCACCCAGCCAGGGTACAGTCTTCCCCATCTCCCCAAGCCAGCCCCTCCCCAGGGACACCTCCTGACGGCTGTGCCGCGTCCTAATCAAACCAGGGCTCCAGGATGGGGACCGGGTGCCCAGCTGAGCATAAGGGGACCCTGCACCACACACAGAAAGCTGTGCAAATAGGTTTGGAAAGTCCCGTGAAGACCCGCCTCCTGAAAAGTCTCCTCCCCACTGAGCCCCGCCCCCAGAAAGGCCCCGCCCCATGGTAACCACGCCCCCAAGCCGGTTTTGGCCCAGGATAACCCGCCCCTGGGTGGCCCCGCCCAAAGAGGACCTCGCCCCCCAGGTGGGCCCGCCCCCAGGACGGCCCCGCCCCGTGATAACCACGCCCCCAAGATGACCCGCCCCGTGACGACCACGCCCCCAAGCCGGTTTTGCCCCGGGTGGCCCCACCCCCATGTGGCCCCGCCCAATGATGACCACGCCCCCAAGGTGGCCCCGGCCCGGGTGGCCCCTTCAGTGGGACGTTCAGAGGCTGCAACCAACCACCGTCTCACCGTCTCACCGTCGCACACGCACACGCACACGCACGGGCCCCGTGGGCCTTCTTTGCCGTCTGTGCTGGGAGGGGCCTGGGAGGGGCTGGACGAGCGCCGGAGCCGGCAGGGCGGGGTCCCTAAGGGTGAGCGCGCCTGGAAACTTGAGACGGGAGCCGGTGTCCAGCTTGCCTCGCCCTGGCCAGGCCCTGGGTGGGAAGCGGCTCGTCCGTGCTCCCGGAGCCCCTCCCAAACCCCGTGCACCAGATCCGAAGGGGCCCTCAGGGGCCACCACGGCGGCTGGGCCGGCGGCTGCCAGGACCCGTCCCCGAGGCCGGTACCTTGTGGCTGACCGGGTGACACTCGTCGCCTTCCCGCCCCAGCGGCGTGCACATGCGCAGCCCGCGCAGCCACAGGCTGACGGCGCAGCAGGTCCCCGGCCCGCACTGCGCGTCCCGCTCGCAGGCCTGCAGAGAGAGGGTCGGGGCCGTCAGAGCCGCCCCGCAAACACCGCCCTGGGGCCTCCCTCCCCCCGCAGGCGCCTGGGCCTGCCCGCTGGCCCCGCCGCCCGCGGGACCCCGAGCCGCGCAGGGCCCCGCCCCGGGAGGCAGCGCCCTCTTCTGGCGAGTCTGGAGATGCGCGCGCAGAGCTCGGGGCGCGGCAGCCGACGTTCCGAGCAGGTGGGACTCGGTTCCTTCGAATTCCTGCAGAGAAGAGGGACTCGGACCCCGGCCTCCCCTCCCCGCAGAAGCGCCCCCCGGAATCTCCCCAGAAGTAGCCCCCAGCCCCAGAAGCACCCCTAGGACCCCCCAGGTGGCAGCCCCCTGCCCAGAACTCCGGTCCCACCCACCGTGCCCTGCTTTTGCGCGGGTCCCCCCGGTCTCAGAGAGGGTCTGGCCCGTCTTGCAACCCGAGCCAAGTAGTTCTGGAAGGGACCTTGGAAAGAAGTGGCTCTGGAAGGTGCCCCCAACCTACTTCAGACAAAACTCTGAGCCGCCTCTGATCCCACCGGCTCCGACTGATTCACATCCAGAGAAGCTTCTGTGCTTTTCTCAGCCGGTGTTGGCGATCTTCTTCTCCCAAAAAGGCACCCCTGGCTGCCCCAAGAGGGCAGGAGGTACAGGGCGCAGCCCCCTGACTCTGGCGGCCTCTAGCTAGGAGGACCAAAAGCTTCGGCCAGAGCCAACAGTTCCTAAGTCTGACCCTGCAAAGGTGGGGGTGTCGCTGTCCCCTTCTGAGAAAAGGGGCCTTGGGGGAGAGAAGGATCCGTGGAGATGATGGTGAGGGTCTCAGGGAAAGTAGAGGAGGCTGATGGTCCTAACTCCCCCCAGCGCTCATGGAACCACCATCACCTGGGCCCAGCTCCCCCTATCATTGTGCACAGAATCTACTGCAAATATGGACCTCTCTCAGCTGGGCCTGTCCTGCTGGGTTGAGGTGGAGGGATGCAGGGCAGTACCACTTCTTTCCTTTCCCTGACCGCCTCTCCTGGATCTTCCGCTACTCACTTGGGGGGACTGGATGTCCCTCCTGCCCTCCCTCCATGCTTCCCCATAAGGCCTGACCCCACCCTTACAATAGCATTGGTGCTGGGGCCTCCAGAGCCTGGCCTCTCGTGTGGCTCCTACTTTTGAACACAGACTTTTTCTTTCACAAAGAAGAAAGAAATCTCCCTTTCTGTGAACATGGAAACGCCTCCAGTTCCAGGAAGGACTTGTCACTTCCTGCATTTTTATTCTCTCAGCTGTTGGAGGAGGTTGGAATCAAAGGGAGTTTTTTTTCGGGGGGGGGGTTGGTTTTCATGTGGATTGTATCTGGAGAGCTCCTTGGGTAACTAGTGTTTTTTCTGTTTTGATAAGATTGTTCCCACCAAGGCATTCACTTGATGGTGGTTCCAAGGCAAGTCAAACTTTTGATCTATGGGGGAGTCCTGTGGGTGGTGCCCAGGAATGCTCAGACTTGGGGGTAAGGTCAATTTCTACCTGTCTGGAGTGCTCTCAGTCTAATGTCAGCGCCATCCATATGCCTACCGGAACAGGGCACAGAACATAGAAGCAGCAAGAAATGAAGCTTCTACTCAAGCAGGTCTTTTGAACAAAAAGAGAAAACAAGGGGGGTTGGGGGGGGGGTACCCAATAGAAGCTAGTGTAGTTACTGTCTTTAATTAAGCCAACATGCTAAAAAAATTAAACTTGACATGTGGACCAGACCTTCTGTGAAAACCAAAACTTACACAAAAGATCAATTACCGTTGCTAATCCACTTCCTAAGGAATTCCTTATTTCATGTTGGGTACTGTTCTCTGGCCCTGGTGGGAGACATTAGTATTTTTGGTGCCCTCCAAGCAAATTGGAAAAAGGGTTTTGTTTACACACAGCATCTCCACTGCAGCTTGAGGTCTCAGTCACACAGAAGTCTGGTGAACCCCTTCCTGGGACCACCAGATCTTCCACCACCATTCCATTTGCTGGTGACACCTGAGTGGTATCGATCACAGAGACCATGGCCCCCGCCTAACCCCATCCCCCTTCCCACATCCTCTGAAAACCCTGGACAAGAACATTCACACACTTACCCCGGTGATCACAGCACCCTCAGACCCGGTCACCAGGAGAAGCAGCAGTGAAAGTTGCAGGAGCCCCCTCATGATCCCCGGGGGTGAAGCTGCCCACGGCCGCCCAGTGTCACCCACTTCTTCCCTCTCAACCCCGTGCCCAGAGAGCTGGCCAGGCTGGGCTCGCCTGAGCCCTCGCAGATTTATAGGTTCCATCCAGGCTGCCCGTGGACGCCCGTCTCCCTCACTGCCTTCCCATCACCAGTGTTATTCAGATGATCTCCCCGGTGAAGATGAGATCTGAATCCCTAATGACCTCAAACCACCGTCAAGACCAATAAAGACAAATACATCAGGGCCCGTGACAGGGGCTCTAACTCTCCCCGGAACACAGCGGTCCCCTTCGGTTATGTATAAGTCATCTTCTCGGCTCTGGGACCGTGTCCTGCGCGCCTGCGGCAGGGGTGAGAGAGTCGGTCATGAATTGAGTGATTAACAGTGTTGCTGCTCAGACTTCCCTGAACCAGACCACGCAGAACATACCTCCTCCTGTTCCTTCCCGCTCAGGACAACACGAATCGTCTGAGCACACCACTGACTGAGCTAGGAGGACTCCCATGGGTGGGGTGGAGGGTCCCTGATCCTCCAGTTTGCCATTCCAGTAGGAGATGAGCAACGTTAACTGCTCCTGCCTGCCTCCCACAGGGAATTGTGCTCACAAGATCGGGCCCGACACTCAACATCACTGGGTGTGGGAACTTAGGGCAAGAGATGGACTAGCAGCCAGGTCCCTGCAGACAAGCATGTGCGTGAGACAGGGTGGAGGTGAGAGGTGCTGGAAGCGATGCGTTGCTGTATGTTGCACGCAGCGAGCTGAGGAGAGCCAGGTCCAGTAAGTGGCCAGTCTTGTGGGAAGCCAACTTGGGCAGGCTCCACCTGTTCGCAGAGAGCAAGCCCCAGAATCCATAAGCAGATTCTCTTTCTCTCCAAAAGGAGAAAAATCCCACTGTTTCCCAAGGCTATGCCCCAGAACCCTCCTCGTCTCTCATTTTTGCCCTTCTCCCACCCAATATACAACACCAATTATCCCACAGAGCAGCCTGAAGAAGCGTGGAAGCAAAAAGGGCTGTCAGGAACCCAACCCATTATAAATAAATAACATTCTATTTATCTTGCACGTTGACACTCAAGACAATCCCAGTTTAATTAGAGGAAGGTGAGGGATAGAGAGTGACTGGGTGAAAATCTCAGAAGAGATTTTGGGGCACTTCAGGGGCATTTTATCCAATAACTCAATTAAGCAAAGGCTCGTAAAGAGCCTTCCCCGAGATGGAACAGGAGCTCAGGATGATGAGTTTATTTCTGTCTGGAACTCCAAGCTCTCCCAATCCAGGTAAATATAAGTCATGAGTCTCGGCTGGACGCCTGGGCAGGATCAGGCTTCGGGCTGACAGGAGACAGGAGCATGGGAAGGAGAGGGGCTGCCTGAGGCAATCAGAGTGCTGTGGGGAAACAGGCACTATCATTAGACTTGGTGCCCTTGGAAGGAAAGCAGCCCATGAGGCAATTCTAGCCAGGCAAGCCCCTCCTTACCATCCTGCCAGTGGGCAGACGGGCGGGCAGCCGGGGCAGTACACAGGTGAGACAGCACCTTGAGAGTAGCATTCTTCAACCGTTAGAGGTGCTCAGGCACCTCTCTGCATACGGGTCCACGTTCCTATGGCTTCCAGTCTTTCTCCATCTGCAATCCTGTGAGAGGCTGGCATCTATTTCTCTGCTTTCATCCATACTAAGGTCAACTCATCTTTGTCTTGTTTTTGTCTGTTTTTTGGCTGTACCAGAAGTGGTCAGGGTCTACACCCATCTCCGTGCTCAAGGGGTCTACAGCAGAGCTGAGGGGACCATGCAGTGCTAAAGCCAAACTCATGTCGCAGTTCTCTGGGCCATCTCCCTGGCCCAAAACGATTATTTTTGATAGAAATTTTGATAGCCAAATTTCAACAAGATTGCTTTCATTTGTGCATTACAGACTTTATGCACAAACACATGGTTGGGGGGTCAGGAACTTCAGAGGGTGCTGTGGTCTGCAAGTAGCTGCTGAGACTCTTGAGGCAGTTGGAGGTGATGGAGAGAAAAGGTTTGATCAGACCAGTGGGGGGCGGGGGGGTCAAGGTTCCGGCTGAAGGGCAATACACTAATGATGTATTTGATTGGGAGAATTTTCCCAAGAAGCAGAAGCAACAAGAAGTTGAGTGACGTCTTGACACAGCAGAGGACTGTGGGTGAGACAGCAGAGAGAGTGGGGTGCCCAGGGGCCATAGGCAGAACTGCAAGTTATATGTACCCAGGGAAATGCCACCCTGGGTCCTAGAATCTCCTTAACCCCGTCCTCCACCACCTTCAGAACTCTCTGGGTCTCTCTATTCTACAACTTGAAGAGATCTTTTTGTTTTCTAGTGGGGACCCCACCTAGTGGTGCTCAGAAAGCCTTTAGAGCTGGGCCAGGACTGAGAACCTGGCCCACACCAGCATGTGCTCTGCCATTGGAGCAGTCTCCTTGGCCCCTTGGAGGTAAATTCCAGAACAATACCGCTATGTAGGGAATGCCTGGTACCCAAACATTCCTGAGCACCCTCACCTGATGACCCTGCTATGTTCCCAGCCCATCAACAGTACAAGCCCTGGCTCCCAGCAGCTCCTGCCTCCCAGCTTAAGTACATCTCTGGGCCCATTCTCTCCACATCAGCCTGTGCTTCCTGCCTCCTCCCGGCACACGGAGGTTCTTGAAAGCCAGTCTGCCTTCCGCAAGGACAAGACTCCGCCTTATCCTCCCCACACTCCCACTGGCCTTCTGTCCCTCACCCCACACATACACTGGGACTCTGCTTTCTCTCATCACCTGCGTCCCTCTAAAGGCAGATGCACAGCACTGGGGTCAGTCCACATCTCCCTGCAACTCTTTTTCCTTTCCGCTCTTCTCTCTCAGGTTGCAGGCTATAGTTCTCTCCAGGCCCCCATCTTCCAGACTCCCCTCTCCTCACCTCTCTTCCTTTTCATCCCCCAGAGCAGGCTGATCCTGGGCAGGTGTTTCTCCTGCTACCCATGCAAATGAGCGCTCAGGCCACCTAAGAGCTTGTGATCCCAAATCTGACTACCCAGTGCTAAAGGGTAAGCGGAGAGTGGTGGAGGTTGTGTGCAAGAATGTGTTAGACACCCTCTTTTAACAGTACACATCATCAACCATGATAACTAAAATAAAATTAAAAAAAAATCTGTCTCTCCAATTCAGGCCATCCTGTCTGGGTTCTACACAGCCAGTAGCCTCTTGGAAGTCACTATAGGGTTCCCCCCTGGGCATGCCACATTCCACCTACCCCTGTCTTCAGGTATCCCCTTTAACCACAGATGTTACTCAGGGATCTTAGTTTCAAATAACAGGACAGCTGGAGCCAAAAGGAAGATAGTTATGGCGCTTACCAAATGGAGTGGGTTTCTAGGAAGCTGGACAGGGGTCTCCACAGCAATGTCCAGATGCACCCCACACAGTTGCCTGAGGGAATCACAGCCCAGTGCCAGATCCTCCCTGCCACCAGTCCCCCAAAGGTACTCCTCAAGAAGGCTGTCTGCCACCAGTGGGGGTCACATGCTTGCACCTTCCCTCCCAAAGGGGCCCTGGGGAATAAGTGGGCCATGATTAAAATGCCACAGGCTTTTCTACAGATCGAACCCAGGCACCTTGCCCTGCACAGTTAGAAATGTGCACAGAACGTCCAGGGTCCCGAGCCGTAACCCCTGGTAGTGTCTGTGTGGGTCTGATGAAGACAGCATTTGTAGACTCCCTGTATTAGACTTGATTCTGACAACTGCTAGATTTGAGACTCCTGTCCAGCGCAGACAGAGGGACAGAGATGAATAAAGTGAAGGGAATAGGAGAAGTTTATTGGGGTGTGCTCCTGGGCAGAACTCTACGAACTTCTGATGACACTGGGGTAGAGCTGCACTCTGAGAGAGACTGAGGGGGCTTTTAAGGTGTCTGGGTTGGGGTGAGGGGAAGGGGAGTTGGGAACAACGACCAGTGGAACCAGAGTGCTTGGTCTGGCCTGTTATCCTTGGGGATGGATGTGAGGAAGTAGGGAATACAACCTGGTGGCTTCCTGTCACCAGGTGGGCCGTAAGTCCTGTCTTTTGAACTGGGGGCAGGGTGATCTTTGATTCCGTGAATGTCACTATCTCATCAGCCAGCTGCCATTCGGTCCTAGGAAATCTCATAACAACAAAGAGAAGAAAGTGCAACTGTGAAGGTAAATATCAGAAAATACATTCAAGGGGCTGGAGTGATAGCACAGCGGGTAGGGCGTTTGTCTTGCATGCAGCCAACCCGGGTTCGATTCCCAGCATCCCATATGGTCCCCCAAGCACCACCAGGAGTGATTCCTGAGTGCAAAGCCAGGAGTAACCTCTGAGCATCACCGGGTGTGATCCAAAAAGAAAAAACAAATACATTCAAGGCACTGTACCGAAATAACACTGATGGTAGACATCATCTGTTTACAAGAAAACGAGCCGATTCACAGCCCTTCACAGTTCTACCCTGTGGAGCCCCAGGCCAGCAGCAGCCAGAAACGTGCCTGTGTGCAGGTCAGCTTGGGGGCACAGTGCCTGCTGACCCCGCGTCCCATCCCAGCTCTCGGAACCCTTCGAAGCCCACCTTGCAGTTCCCAGTTGCAGTTCCCAGCTCCGACTCCCCATCATTCACGACTCGCCCCTCTCAGCCTCTCCTCCATTCTGCCCTCACAACTGCCTCACTGCCTCCCTCCTCCCCTTCCACACATCCCAGAAAGGTGATCCTCACTTCTTGGAGCTCAAAGGTTCTTGAAGGAGTCCTCCCTGACTTCAGGAGCAAGCCAGAGTGCCCAGGTCTGCTCTGGTTCAGCCCCCCCCCCAACGCCGGCCCCGTGCTCTGTCCACACCAGTCACCTCTCGTGTGCTGGGCCCTTCCTCTCAGCCAGCTGGGTCCAGATGCTTAGGGGTGGCAGGAAACTTGGCTACTTATCTCGGGTCTCTGAACCTCAGTTTTCTCTTCTGAAAAAGAAAATAGTGCAACCCTCCTAGAGGCAATGGG